CTGGTTGATTTGATTGATAGTTCTCGAAGTTTTGAAAACTATGTTGTTATATTGTCCCGGCCATTGCCTGGCCATATGTTTTTTGTTGTAGGATTTTGGAAGCAAGTCACCAAGTTGGATCAAGTTCCAGTGCATCGTTTTGCCAAAAGCATCTCAGGGGTTCGTTGGCGCGGTGGTTCGGCCTTATTGAGAGGTACCCACGTTTTTTGCAGCTGGGCCGAGACCATCATGATGTTGCTTTCTATGTTGGAAAAGCTAACTAATGGCCAGGATTCCACTAGAATGTGAGTGGTAAAGAATACATCCATGGCCATTAGAATCTGTAATTGCCCAGGACCAGGGTGCAAGCAAACCGAGTCTACAGAGAAGGAGAGCGTTTTTGCGACACGTACCTCCTCCTGTCGCACAAGTCGTGCTCGTGAATTGGCATCTATATAAGACTTGTGCGTGCATGCGCATTCTGTTTGTGCATGATGTACGTGATCGCTACTGATGCGCAACCCAGGATGAATCTCAACAACAAGTTCCATTTTTTGATCAAGCCCAAAATACACGTTCCTTGGTGTATTCTGTCTGGCAGTGAGAAAGGCTCCCACGAAACTGGATTTGCTTGGAATGAAACCTTAGGCCTTTGCCCACTTGAACTTCCAAATGCGCATCTATAGCTACTTGGCTCGATGCCGGGTCACATATTTTTTAACCCTGTCATGCCCTGCCCAGCTTGCTACCCAGGGTGCAATGTTCGCCACGAGCACACATTTCTGGATGAAGATGCCATGGGATGGCTCAAGCGATGCATGGCGGCATTGTACGCGATGCGGATAAAGAGCTAATGTATTATCATTATTGTCTACGACTGACATTCTTGGGTCTCAGTGAAGGGGTCTCAGGGATGTGTGTTCGGGATTGTTGCATCTGAGAAATGGCACTTCGTGGACATGGATCCCATCAAACAGCGTTCCTCCTCAAGTCCTCAAAGCTCAGGACCAACAGTTTACTGAACTGGCGTTACTGAATTTCAGTTCTAGTTTCCTTTACTCTTTCCCTGAGAGTCCGAGTGCTAAACGAAGCCTGGTCATCATCACCCGAGATCAGACTAATCAACGACCCCCCCGTGTTTTGGACTTTGCCAGGATGCTTCATGCAAAGTTCAAGATGAAGCAGCCACACAGTTGCAGCATGAACGTTTTTATGTGCAGTACTACTGGTGTTCGTGACTGATGCATGTTTTTCTCTTCACAAACAACTTCGTGTCTCAACGCTCATGAACCTGACGAGGTTGAACAAATCAGCAGCCAAACGCAAGTGATGTGATGCGGTCGGCGGTGGAACTGAGAAAATTGTGACGTGAGCGATTGCTGGGCTGTGTTGAATGGGATCATGTTGTTCTCCCCTTCTTCCTTCAATGGGTGGCCATTAAAATCATGCCCGTCCCACAGCAAGGCGTGGTCGCGCGTGGTCGCCCGTGGTCGTCCGTGGTCGGGATTGTCCAAAACACGGGGTGGGTCGTTGATTAGTCTTGGGTGACGATGATTCGTCTTTATTGCAAAAACCGGGCTTTGTTTAGCACTCGGACTCTCAGGGTATATATATCTTCATTATGTTAAATTGGTGGATAATAAGATATATAAGATTCGAAAATGGCGCGTATTGTTGCATTCGTCGAAATAATTGATTTATAGTTTATTGGTTTTATTATTACGGTTCTTCGCCTTGACGGATTATTGCATGTATTTATTGACTGTTATATCTATTATAATAATGAATAGAACAATAAAAATCTATTATGATCCGATAATGGAAAATTATGCAAAATTCGGCATTGGAATTCCGGTTTTCGAGAGCCGAATTCCGAATTTCAAGATGATTTGAAATTAGAGAATTAAGATTATCGAGATTCGGTATTTGGGATTCGAGATTGAAATTTTATATTCGGGAGATGCGAGCTTCAGGAATCAAGATTTAAATTCTTAATTTCGAGATGTTTTATCCGAGATTCGTGTTCCGAAATGCGAGATTCGAAATGTGGGCTTTGAGATTCGAGATTTGCCATTCGAAATACGAGATTCGAGATGCGACATTTGGGATGGGAGACCCGAACGTTGGGAGTCGAGATTTGGGATTTTAAATCTGAGATTCGAGGTCTTGGGCTTCGAGATTCGAAATCTTAGATTCAAAAAACGAAATTATAAATTGGTAAAATCGAGATCCGGAATATATTAAATTGGTGAATAAACTTTATTTATGTATAATATTCGATATTTATATATTTGCAATATAATGGGAATTATATATTAAATATATTTCTATATTAAACATATTTCGAACACAGAAAATGAATAACTTAAATTATTTTCATAATGAAGATATATATAACGAACCATTGAACTTAGCACAGATATATTCGAAAGATTACTTGAAGGCATTAGGATTTGAGAAGGTATTCGTCGCGCGGGGCAAGGTTATCGTATATATATATATATAGAAATGATGTCGAGGACCATTTAATATTACGATATTTTTGTTCTTTCGACAAGGATTTTTAATGGAGGTCTCATTGAATCGCATCTTCGAAATATTCATTAATACGTAAATGGAGGCGATGGAAACCTCATCGATAATTGGTGATTGCCCGAAAATCATCGAAATATTCCATAACGAACCATTCCCTTAGCTTCGGATGGATTGCTAATCACGAAAGCTAGCGAAGGTAGCTGGAGTTACTCTTGCGATAGCAAGGTTTCTTTCGATCTCCCCCCCCTCCCCCTCCCCCCCCCTCCCTTCCCTCTCCCCCTCCTTGTCTTCCTCCCACCTTCCCTCCCTCCCTCCTCCCTCTTCGCAAGTTCGACTCCGTCCTGTCGTCGCTCTTTGGCACGCGGTTAGCGTTGCATATCTTGCGGTCGCACTCGCTCACTCTCACTCTCACTCTCACTCTCACTCTCACTCTCACTCTCTCTCACTCTCACTCTCACTCTCACTCTCACTCTCACTGTCTCTCTCTCTCTCATCTCTCTCATCTCTCCTTCATCTCTTTCTCATCTCTCTCTCCTCTCTCTCTCCTCTCTCTCTCTCTCTATCCGGATCTCTTTCTTTCTTTCTTGTGCCATAGGGGTGCTGACTAACCGGCATTAACGCAAAATTCTAAATAAGAATCTGTCACACCCGTAGATACCCCTAAAAGGCCAACATCACTCAATACATCTTACGCAGCAAGTAAACAAAAGAACCACGCAAAACAATTTAATTTAATATCTAAGTAGTAGCGAAGTCCAGGTCAAGCCTGGTGAGAATATGTTTTTCAATACAAAATCGTCGGAATTCAGAATTTCTAATCGCATTTAGGCTATAGGTCAGCTATTCATTGGACTTGGAAAACAAAATATCTGCGCAAAGAAAATCCCAAATAAAATTGAGCGAAGAATCAATCCATTTTTGTCTGGGTCCACCCACACGGCGGAAACATGATTTCAAAAGGAATGGCCGAATTTGGGCGAAAGCTCCCATTCCTCAAGGGGTGGATATAATCTTAACGCAAAATATGCCCAATCAAGGCAATTCTCTGCTTTGTAAGAGTATCTCCTATTTTACACACAGCACTATTTAGATGATTTCGTGCTCTAATTGCCAAATTTGCGCTTCTAAACATTTCAATTTTGGTGTTTATTCTATTCACAAAGGTAGATCCCATGCAAAGAATCTTTAAAAAACCTTTGAAATAGAAAGATTCGAGACACGACATTTGCGCGTCCGGGATCTCTAGCGTTTAAAATCCATAGAAAAATCTAAATTTTACGATTGCATTAAAAACTCTAATTTTGTTTCGTATTTTTCTTCATTTTTTGTTTCCAATAAATGCGTAATTTCATCCAAATATTTGTAGTTGTCGCAATTTAATCTCCAAATTTTGTTTTTTATATCTAAGATTTCGATTATTAAATTAAAACATCGAAGTTCAAATTTTTTATTCCGAATCTCGACTCCCGACATTCGAATCTCCCATCCCAAATATCGCATTTCGTATATCAAATTTTCCAATTCAAAACCTGTATCGAATTTCGGAACCCGAATTTCGATTAAAATATCTCGAAACTATATAAGAATTTGGATCTCGATTCCCGAAATTTCGGAAATCGAATTTCGATCTTAAATCTCGGAATTCGGATCTCGAAGCTCGGAATTCCAATCCCGAATTTACATAATTTTCCATTATCGAATAATCCGAATAATAACAACATTCATTGTTTTAAAAAACATAAAATGCAATAAATTTATCCAATAATCAATCAAAATGAAAACCCGTAACAATAAAATAAACACGAAGAAAACGAAATCAATCATTTCGACGAATACAACAATACGCGCCGAGATCAAAATATAACAATCAATAAATCATTCCATAAAAATCATCATTTAACAACATAATATTCGATAAAATTATTTTCTATAAATCCATATACCTTCTCAAAAATATGATTAGATATTATTTACATAATTTAAAGGTCCAATTACCTTCTAAGAAAATATATGGATACATAAAAAATAAAATATTAATGTATGTTTAAAATTATTTAAAATATTCGATTTTTTCAATAAATATATATACCTATTAGTAATTTTATCCTATTATATTATAAATAGAAATAATTGATTTTACATTAAGAATTAATATAAATTATTCTTAATTTTCTAGAGGAAATGAAGAAATAAAGACCCGCCTTTGGCTACAGATAAAGCCGTCAAAACGCTCCACCCATCCCCAAAAAATACTATATGCGTGTTTCTATTTCACGGCAAGCACCAAAGACCTGCAACGGGTAGCCCCTGCCTGCCGACAAGGGGGGTAACAGCCCCAGGACTTACGCCTGTCCGCTGAGAGGGGCACCAGAAATTGATCCCGGGTAGTCTCGGTCCGATGACCGAAGTCTCAGCCGCTCGGCCATGCAATGGCATAAAACATTCTATTAACGATAATATAGTGTTTTCTTCTATATTCTTTTTTTTTAAGGATCCGCATGTAGTTATTCCACAGCAGGATCCAACCTGAAGGACGGAAATGAATTAAGAACTTATTGTCCCTAAATTGTAGGTTCAAACCTCGGACAGGCAATTGTTGTTGCATTCCTAAATGTAGTTTCCTTTCAACGCTTACCAAGACACATAGAAATATTGACCCTGTTCTTCTCGCTGTCAATGCCCGTAATGCGCACACGTACCGCCAGTCCACGATACGCTGTCTTCACGCATTCATCCTGGTCGCCAAGACGCCCGAAGAGTTAGCAGCTAGCATTGTGAGTGCAAAAGGAGCTCCAACATCTGTCTGCATGCTCAAAGCCAACAACCTGGAATCTTTTGTTGAGATCATCCTGAATGACATGACAATCATAAGTCATACAGTAAGTGTGGCAAGAACCCAATGACGAGAACCCAATTTCATCACCCTCCGTCCGTACAATGCTCCAACCGCAGCAGCGACCGGAAGGGTTCGACGCCCTCCGGGTAAAGGCACACCCAAAGCCCACCCTCCGCCATGCCACAAACAGTGCCGTCAATCCAGTCCTGAAGCTGTTTGCGCAATGAATGAAAGCTAAACACATTCCCAACATGCATTATATAGGTTCAACATAGGCGTGACAATACAACTCCAGAATGTAGGGGCGATGGTACGGTACACCATGCTGGTACGACGCTTGGTGCGGTACATCATGCTGGTACGATGTGGTGGTACGATGTTTGGGTACAGCGCGAAACACTGGTACGACATGTAAGCACGAGATGATACAAAGAAATCTTCCACTTTGGAAATACTTTAGTCATGTGGTATGTGCACAGGTTTTGTTTGTTTATTGTCCAGTTGGACATGTGTTCGTGAACATGTTTAATAACAAACTGCTTCAGAGCTTCAGCTGGTTGATAGACTCCAAAGAACAAACAGGGTTGAGTCTGGCTGGTATGCTTTTTCCTTGGCAGCTGCCAAACTGTCTGTATACAATGTACGCTGTGATGCCCTGGTGTTGTTGGGCATTCACCAAGCAAGAGTCTAGATTTACAATGGACAAACATGCCATTGTCAGCACCTGTAACAGAGAATGCCAGACAGTGGGCAACACGACTGAACAAAAAAGTGAAACACTCTGCCGCTCTGCTGTGAAAGCGTAAACATAGAGTCGAGCCATGTGGAGTTCAACTCCATCCATCAGTGTCAGTGTTTTCTAACATACTTGGACACATACCTCAAATCAGAAGCCTGAAAAAACAATCAAACAGCAATAGACATATCATATGATCGAATCATATGAATTACATAAGTTACAGTATATATATAAACAAAAACATTAAACAGAACATCAACATTTCAGAATCGTATGTCGTATGTGTAACATTGTAACACTGCAACATGCATCATGTTACTTCATAGCCATAGTCCTTGCATAGATCGGCTATATTTGGCTTCTGTTCATGTGATTCAACTGCAGCAGTGTTTTGCACACTTCTAATCTCAACTGCAGTAGAGCAGTCTACCAGGACATCCGATTATTGACAAGCATCGGTGTTGTTTTGCAGACAAACACCTGTCTTATATATGTATTATCAAATATAATATCTAATACAACGGAGGGCTGTCCAGTGGTAAAAAAAACATAGTGCAGATTCCCACTAATGAATCCAAACTCATGGACTCATGAAGCTCTCTCACATTGTCATCCTCGTTTGCCAATCCTTGGCTCTCTGCGCAAAAGCCACTGGAATGACATAAGATATCAAGTGTTTACTGCAACACCCTGACAATATTTGCTTAGCTTCCTAGACAGTATGGAATTGACGTGGTCCAAGTCTGAATCCATGGTTGCTTCCTCTGTTGGAGAGTACTCAAGTGATGAAAGAATTGCGATTTGCAAAGCCGCCACCACAAATGATGGAAACCTGAGAACACAACCAAGCAACATGCAGCTGTTGCATGTTGATGCCCTGCAAGTAAGCAATAAAAAGCAAAGTATATATATTATATATTATATATAAATAGGTGGTGTAACCAGCAATTGTTGATTCATTCTAGTCTAGCCAAAGCCAAGCTACCCGTTACCGGCAAGATCTTGGGCTTGGTTGTTGGAGAGCTTTGACATTGTTGCATCCTGATACTGCACACCCTGTAGGGCCAACTGCTCAACTCCGAGGTGAAGCCTCTGTCGCGCATCGTCCCAGACAGTGCCACTAGGAAGAATTGTTGGAACAACCTGAAAGCAGAGACAAAGTCATAAAGAAAGAGGTTTGAATTGAAACAGTCTGTTTGCTGCTGCAAAACGCATCACCTAAGCCATACAGTCAAATCAAGACACTTCTGGTGTAGACACTGGAGTGCGGTTTGCACTATGATAAAGGTCTGCGAACCGATATGGAGTATTACCAATTGATTTCCTGTCTGCGTTGGTCATCTCGAAGAAGCCGATAATCTGACAGAAGTTGGATGAACCGAGTGTAGTCTGTAGTCGTTTGTATCTATGTATTTGTATGTTTGAGATAAAACTTGTAACCCTGCCTCCTTTTCACGCTGGGGAAGAGTCTGGAACCACTCGTTGTTCCGAAGATCTGATGAAATCTGAACAGGCCATTGGGTCTTCCCTGAAAGCAAAAAAATACTGACAAACACAAACTAGGTACATTTCTGTTGCTTTTATCTTGAAACTGCTGAAAGACACTTGCATGCAAAGAACTGAGCACGCGACTCGATTCGGCAATAGACATGTGAAGTTGTTTCCATTTCTCCATGTGGCATTCAAGTGTCTTGTCTCCAGGTTCCTCTTCTTTCTCTGCATCTTTCTCTGCTTGTTTTTTCTCTCGGTCTGATTTGCTTTTCACCCGTCTGTCTAGCTCTGCCAGGACCCTGAAATCATCATCTGGTAGCAGGAAAAAGTCCTTAGTTACCCAAACTAGACATGTATTAATTATACAGTCAGCAGTATAATAATAATAAAATACTTGTTTTTCCCATTACATTCATGTTCAATCACGGACATGGTTTTCTTTTGTGACTCAGCTTGTGTTTAATGTTGATTGTCCACCAAGAAACAACTGATGGTCGTTCCAACCGCGTTGCCGGCAAGTATTTTCCGACGACTGATTCCAAAACAGCTTCTGCCCCACAAATCAGTTCATCATCAGCGCGCTGACGGTGGACTGCAATGATAAAGAGCCGCTTCCGACGTTGCGGAAGACCAAAATCTTCAGCATTCAGAAGCAACATTCCTTATGGACTTATAGAGTGTGATCAGCATGAATTAATCTAACTTGAGCTTACTGCTTACTGATGTGTTTCAGTGTTTCAGCAAAAAACTGTACATGTCATATGACACATGAATCGTTTGACTTGTTTGCGTTTGACTCGTTTGACTGGTTGACCCTGTGTTGACACATATTTGCAAAGCCAGCGCACGCATTTCATACCCTGCTTGGTCAAGCGCACGGTGAATCATTCCTACATTTGAATCTGATTCGGAGACATCTCCTTGGCCCATGTCAACGTTCTCCAAGATTGCCCAAAGTGGCTGCGTGATTTTGAGCAGGGATATGTTTCCAGCAAATGTACGGAACGTTGATGACTCCTGCATGAAAAATCTTAGTTCAGTGCAGTGACAGGCCCAATCTCAAACATGAATCATCATCACGTGAATCACATCACACTGCCACAAAAAAACTATCATTGACACCCACTAGCCTCGATGGAATTTGCCAAGGCTTTGAAAGTGCTGATTCATTCTGCAGCTTGGACAAAGACTTGCAGGAAAAACCACTACCAAAGCCAAAAGTTTCATGCTCCAAAGCCTCAAATCCACGAGACAGAATGCAAAGGACTTCTCAAATATATAAGAGCGTTGTTCATTACTCAGTTGGGACAACACGTGGAAGCAGCACAAACAAATAAATAACGTATCTAATCTATAACAAAAACAATGAATACTGCTCAGCAAAGATACACACGCTTCTTTGTGACGTACACAATGTCGTTCCTTCTCATTGTCCAACAGCGTAACGTCTGCAAAGACACATGTATCAGGACCCAAGACATGATACATTAAAAGAGCTTGTTTCCACTTCTCGATCTCACACGCCATCTCAGAGTAAACCTCAAGAACACATGTGTTGTGTGTGCCTGACATCACGTTTGATGCAAATGTCTAGAGACTGAAAATTGATGATACAAAGACGGCACAAAATAAATCGATAGATGAGTAGCATCAAACTGCTCATCTCCTTCGCTGATCACCAAAGAGTTGAGAGCATCCCCGACAGCCAAAGCTGCCAATTCAAATGAACCTGTCCCTGTACATGTGGAGTCAAAGCACATTGATCGAGGCAATTGTCTTAGGCGTTTCAGAGTGCCATCAATCTTCAATGCCTTATGTAGCATCGCCTGCAAATGTCACATGTTGAGCAGCTGAAGACATACCAGCAACAGCCAAAAGCAACCCATTTGCATGTACATCAACAAACCCTAGCCGCTAGCCTGTCACAAGTCACATACATAAATAGATAGATAAATGAATGTAAAGTCAAAGTTGTTTTGTGATGTGACTAAGTACTCTATTGATACCTTGGCAGCAGATCCAAGGATATCATTGCGATCCAACTCACAATGAGTAGGCGATCCTGGCTGTTGCAAATGTTTTAGACTTGAACACATAAAGCACACAACTTTAGTGTTACATATAAGTTACATAAGCACATAATAATAAGGGACAGCAAACAAACACACAAAACATTGTCTCCTGCTGATTCATCGTTTTGATCCACTTCATTCTCATGTGTGTTGCGTTCTGATTCTGGCGCCTCCATCCGAGAGACACTTGAACACATTGCTGCCTATTGTATAAAGCGTATTCAAAAAATGAATCTGTTTGATTGTGATGGCAAACTGAAGAAAGAAAACAACTGAGGACCTGACTTGCTGAAGTTGCTTGGTTGGTTCCTGGACATGGTTCTGGTTTGGTGCCACCACAGGTGCAGCTGCTGCTTGAGCCGCGTGAGCTTTTGCTTTGCTTTGTAGCCTGCAAAGATAGTCTATGAAGTCATATAGGTCCTGCTCAGGCTCTTCCTTGCCAAAACTCCAAATCTCTGTGAGATCAGGGTTTTCTCCGATCAGGTCTTCGTAGTATCTCTGAAAACTTGGATGAGCTGATGCTTCATTGCAGAAACGTTGAATGCATTCCTTGTGGGCTTTGCAATACTCCAAAAAGTCATTGATCTCTTCTTGGAACTGGGAGATGCCCACTTTGCTGCTCTCGAACATGTCTTGGAAACTGCCCACTACATCTGAGAACGCAAGTGTGTCTACAGGTTTCTCACGCAAACTCATGATACGGTCCTCAAGGGATTGGCAAAGCCGCTTCCTGTTTGGACTTGATGTTGTTTCTGGCTGTGTGTGTCTCTGTATTTCTGTAACCTCTCCTGCTGCTTCAGATTCTTGCTGTGTATGGACCGCTGTTGTGTTTGCTGTTGCTTCAGCTGAAACTTCTGGCTGTGTATTGTTGTTTGTTTCTGTTGTGTTTGGCGCTTCTGTTGAT